GAAGCACATTTTCACCTAGCCCTGAACCATGAAATACTGACTCAGACTATAATTACTGCAGCTTAATAAATGATCCTGTGTCAGGTGAGCAACAGTCTTGAAATCCTATCTCTGATAATTTGATTTTACTGGAGCATGAGTCTGATGCTTTTTTCTGCCTTGGGGTGTTTTTTTTTGGTGCGGGTTTTTGTTTGGGTTTTTTTTTGTTTGGTTGGTTTTTGTTTTTTTTTACATAGGCACTGCATTAACCTGGAGCAGCTCATTTTCTGTAAATAGGTTTAGTAATATATCAGTACTGGCAGTGCTATTGCTTTTGGTATTGATATATAGCCAACCATTGTAACACAAATTTTGTGTTAATATTTTATTCTGTATCCTAAAGCTGCACGAACTTTTATTGCAAGATGAGTAGGTCTGTATTCAGCAATGGTAAGGGTTAAGAGAACTGCCTGGACAATTTGGGTGCTTGTCAAGACAAGCTGAAAAGAAGCACAGGTCTGTGAATCAAGGTTATTTGGTTTGCATTCTTTCAGTTATCTCTTTCTAGCCAACCGGAGACAGTTTTAAGAAACTGTCATAAAATTTGCTGCTGTTTGGCAGTAAAAACTGTAAGAAGGGTGAAAGATACCATTTCCCATTAATATGCACATCAAGGAAAATTATTTAAGGGCAAATGAGAAGACATTTCCAGAGAGTGGAATATCACCCATGAAAAAAGCTGTTTCTTGCAAGGAATTTTATAAAAGTACTAGCGTAGAAAAAAACCTGTTACCTGGAATGCTGCTCAACTCACTTCTCTTTAAAAACAAACAAAATAATCGGGCTTTTTTTGCTCAAGCAATCCTCATCTTTTAACCTCCTGTTCTGCTTGAGCTGCAGTCTAAATCTCTAATTTTAACCTTTTAAATTGATTTCAGCACTCTTCAGTCCTTTCTCCAGCATAGCACGTCTTTGCCTTTTTGTAGCCGTGCCTCATGTTACAGGGTGTAGTCTCGCATTCTTGTTTTGTAACAGAGAAGACAGTGTTGTGCCAACCAAGATTTACTTGTTTCCCCTATTCTACAATCCCATGTTCCAATTCTTTCTTAAATTTTATATACTATTTCTTAATATTCTCTTTTAATTGCTCAATCCAAATACAGCAATGTTGACTTTGAATGGGTGAGTAACAAATTACAAGGAAGTTAAAAACTCTTTTTTGGGCTTCTTAATACATTTGAGTTGGAATAGTAAGTACATGCTGCAGATAATAAGTGGGTAAGACTTGAAAATGGTATACAATATAGTAGATTATCAGACCCAAAACTAGACAGATCCTTGTATTTAAAAAAAATAGATTTTGTAATAAAAATCAAAGAACTCAAAATCCATATTTTTACTGGCACTTGGGCCACCTCTTCTCAGAAGTGAGAAAGATTTTTGGTAAGATTGCAGTTCTTCCACTGCATTATTTTTTTCTTTTTAATTAAATGGTCCTCTATGTCTCCAAGGGAAAAACTCACTACATTTCTCTAGTGACTGTGGGGCCGTTTCAGTTTCGTGTGTTTCTAAGAAACTAATTCTTGCCTTCTGAAATTTCTTAGCATTGATTGCTAAATATATCAGCTTTCCTCTTTGGGATCTTGGAAAGCATTAAGATTCCAACAGGCTTTTTTCATTCATTCTTCACCACTTCTGTTGCCCTGACACCACATTGGAGCCCTGGCATCAAAATACACTGGTTATATCTTCCTAAATTATTTAAAATGAAATCCAGATAATTTGTTTTCAATTTTCTTTAATAAAAACAAATTCATATATTCTTCGTCTTCTTAGTAAAAAAAAAAAAATCTAAAAACCAAAGGAGCATTTTACCATGACACATATGTCTCTACCAGGCTTCTCTGGTGAATTATTTTTAGCATTTAAGTTGTGACTGATGTTTCCCTTCTTTAACAGATTGTCACACAAAAAAACAGTTTAAACTTGAATGTGTTGGAGCAAAGCTTTTAGGGTAGGAACAGGCAGGGCTGACCTCCAGTTGCAGCAGCTGCCATGCAAATATGAAAAAGTCTTTTGATGGCTACACGCAGCCAAACAGAGAAATTGACTTACTCACATCGGCTTCAACATGGAAATCGGGAGTTTGGCACAGACCAAGCAAGATTTTAAAGCTTCATGCAAGCAACATCCAGTAAAATGAACTCCAGCTGTATGATACAAACTATAACACAGGCATAAATAATAAAAGGTGGAAATTTTCCTCCTGGCTGGTGTAGGGCAGATACTGACAGCGCAAATAGCTGTCAGCAAAAAACACGGACAAGGAGGAGTTTGAGTAAGTGTGTTCTGTCCCAGATTGTGTGCCGAGATCCAGCAGATGCCTTCTGCTTTCCTGCTCCCATTACCAGATGCTCTGGTTAAGCCTTGTGGCAGGCTGCCCGAGGCCACCGAAACCAGATTCCTCCCCTAGGTTTAGATCCTGGAGCAGAGCTAGATTCATCAGCTCTGAAGATCAGTGCTCCCCATGCTCCTGATGCTCCCCACGCTGGTGCACAGTCCATGTCGGTGCACAGTCCCTCGCCTTCTCTCTGTGCCTGTTAACCCTTTGGCACCTGCCCTGCTCATGCTAACAGCGGGGGCTCGTACCAAGGCGCCAAACTTTTTCCTGAAAGTCAAAGCAAAAGCGCACCATGGCCCAGGTGGTTGTCACTGCAGCCGGAAGGTTCAGGAAGGCACGGCCAGGGAGGTGGCAGGGCAGGACTTGCCAGCCTCTGCCCAGGTAGTTTGGCCAAGGACAAGTGGGGAGCCTCAAAAGCGGCTTTTGTGGAGATCTTTTGTGCCTGGGGGGCACTGCAGGCACCTGTCCGTATGGACAGGAATCAGACAGAGTAACACTTGACAGCAACCATCCTGGACAGCGCTGAGGACAAAAATGTCCTTGCAAGGCAAAGCACCTTATAGTGACGTACTGCCAATTCACGTTTCACATACTTAATCCTTAACACTTACAAAAAAACGGTTTTGCTTCATGCTTTACACATTCCTTGCAGGGCCTGTATCTTCTTCATGCCCTTGGCCAGAGCATGGCCATGGGCATGGCCATGAGCCTCTTGTTTAAAGTGAAGGTGTACTTCTCAGATGTTCTTTTTTTTTCCTTCTGCAAAGTGAAAACTGCTTTATTGATTGCTGTCAACATTTTGCAATTAATGTATGATCCCAAACATGAAGACAGGCGTTTATGAAGAGGATGAGAAGTCGCTGAAGGTACATTATATTAGATGAAGAGGTGCCAATAGTAGAACATCTTCAGCTGGATGATTTCCATTTCTTGGCATTGCAGCTACAAGCAGCTTATAAATGACATGAATATACTGTGGTGTTTTACACAGTGACCCACCCACTACGCCTCCCTGACAAGGCACTGCAGTGACACTGCCCTCCTGGAGAAGCTTTTGCTTCTCTGAAGCTCCATTTGCAGCTTGCCTGAGAGAAGCGGTGCTTTCTGTGCTCGGGGAAATGCTGTGAAGAGCTGTTTTGCACTAGGAGGTGCTGGTCTGTTACGATCCCAGTGCCATCGCTTATTGGCGATGACACTATAAACAAAGAGAGAATAGTAGAGACAATCTGATGTTCCTTTTGATGCTGGGAGCCTTGAGGTGTGCAGCATTGAACGGGCCACCAGCGCATGTGCGGCACGCCATGCAGACCCCGTCTGCTGAAGGGTTACCTCATTTTGGTCGTTCAAGCTATTGTAGGATTTTCTGGCATGGAAGCAAGGCCATTCATCATTTCTACTGTCAAACAGAAAGGACGTTCACATGAGAACTTCTTGCCACGTTTCCAGATAAGGGCAAGGCCAGGCAGGTGGTGTAATTGCTGGTACAGAGGGGGAGCTGCCTGCAGGCTCCTCCGTTGCGGTGAGCTGAGGTTGCCCTGCAGACAAGGGATTTGTGCAGCACAACGCAGGCCCAAAGGCCACGCCGGGTCTGCTGCAGTTCAACTCTTATGTGGTCCACCAACTCCTTTGTGTGCAATGATCCCCTGGTCAGGACCGCTGCAAAAACCAACAGTTTCACTGCACGGTGGCTGTGGTCGCTTCCCCAGCGGCAATGCAGGGAAAGGCCCTCCCGCCTCCTGTACGCTGGCCACGCTCCAACCACCAGACCCAGGACGACAGCGGGGGCGGCATCCACTGGCCACGAAAGCCACAGCTCTGCGGGACAAGCCTCGCCAAAGCCCGGGGGACCCCAAAGCTCGGGGCCTGCTGCCAGGTTTCAGCCGCGCCGCAGTGGTCGCTTCCCCAGCGGCAATGCAGGGAAAGGCCCTCCCGCCTCCTGTACGCTGGCCACGCTCCAACCACCAGACCCAGGACGACAGCGGGGGCGGCATCCACTGGCCACGAAAGCCACAGCTCTGCGGGACAAGCCTCGCCAAAGCCCGGGGGACCCCAAAGCTCGGGGCCTGCTGCCAGGTTTCAGCCGCGCCGCAAATCATTACCGGCTTTGTACGTCGGCGCGGGCTTCCAGCCCAACCTGCGCTGCGACCACGCCGAGCACGCAACCCACGCTGCGCTGACGGCCGCCCCGCCCTGGGCGCGCCGCGAGCACGCAGCGCGACGCCGAC